TCAATTGATTCAGCATATTCATGATCACAAAGAAAAGTGTTTTGAAATGTTGTTTATGTATATGTCACATTATTTTAGCTAAGTTTCTTTCTCTCTCATATGAAAGATAAGGCCTCTCTATAAAATGATATATTCAATTTGTATATTAATAATAATAAAAATTATACAAATGTTACCTAGTGAAATGTTATGAAAGGCTTTATAGTCTATGCCTGTGTTACAGTTATGTCAAGAAATAAGACAACTTAGCTTTATAATACTATAAATTATATCCTTTTGAAGCAACTGTAAACCAATAATATTTTGAAAGCCATACTGAAAAGTAACAAATTTACTAACTTCAAAAAAGTGTATTAAAATATTATACTTTTTACAGTTCAGTATCAACCCAACAGTAAAAACATTGAAGTACACAGAAACTTTCTAATGAACAAAAATAATGTTTTAAAAAATGTATATTATCCTCTTCCGAGGTATCATTTTAAGCAGCAAAAACAGAAATAATCCAATATTTATTTGAATTTATGCATCCTCTTTTACACAGATGCTGATATTTCTCAAAATTAAAAAAAACATTTTAGAATCTTCTCAGATAAATACAATAATTTAACGATTTCAATAAAAGTAATGAAGTTGAGCAAATTAAGCATCAGGCAAGGAGAATTATGCTTGAAATAAATGCATTTCTGGCACAACTTGTAAACAGCAACATCTACAATTTAGTTTTTGGGCATGTACAACGTTAACATTAGAAAACGAATACTTTTCTATCAAAAATCATTTTAGTTGATAGTAGAAAATAATCTTGTAAAAGAATAATAAAGCTCTATTATAAATATGTTCTCAAACAGTAATTAGAAAGTTGTAAAATATGGTTTATACATGTACTTTGTCTTAACTGCTTCCTTGTTTGTTTAGGATATGTTCTTTCTCTTTCATACACATATCAGTGTTCCACCCCCACTATACTGACAAGTTAACTGTATATTAGCTATGAGCTTTTTTTACTTTTAAGGAACAGTTTTCAGAAAATAAGTCCATACATAATTTTGCCTGGCTATCTACTGGAAGCAATAAAGACCATTATTGGCATAAGTCAGTATGCCTCTTATTATCCATGTCAAAACAAACTTATATTAAAGAAAATGCTCCATATATCAGCAATGTTGAAAATAATGGCAACTGACAAAAATCATAAGCAAACATCTTTCCATACAAGAATTTATCAAAACAGTGGCTAGACAGGTTAAGAATAGATTTTTATGGGAATATATTTAAGCTGAAAACAGGACATCTCTAAATAGCAAAAAACTAGGAAATGTGTTTATAAAAGTGATCTCAGAATGTGCATGTACAAAATGTTTTCCAAAAATGCCACTGTTCACATATCTTAGTTAGAGAGTTACCAACTCTTCTCTAAGTTTCAGAGATGAACCATAATACCTTAAGTGTAAATCTGTCTGCCTGGCCTATGAGCTTCACTATATTATTTCAAAGACTGACCTATATACAGCCACCGTTCTCTCTATTTGTATAAAAGATACCTCACACAGTTGCCATAACCAACATTGTTTGCATTGTTCTTTCACTTTTCTCCCTCTGAGTATAGCTGGAGAAAGAAACATGATCTGAGATAGTATGTTCAAAGCACGCTATACTGCAAGCGAAAACACAGCAATCGCCAATTAAAATGTTTAAGACATCATTTTAAAGAAAGTGTCTTTATAATCTTTTGAAATAGCTAACAGAAAAGGAAATTAAAACACCCTATAATAATTTTGCAGTATGTAAAAAAGTTATGAATCCTAATTCTTTACAACCAGTATGATAGACACAAGTCTAGATAATATCAGTTCTTAGATTATGTACAATCTATGAAATATTATAGCAAAGGGCATGTTTGCTAAGATCACTAATAAAAGTTATGCTGATTATGTGGCAATATTTCTGACATATTTAGATGTGTTTATTTTTCACCCACACTGTAGATTAACTCCATTAACATAAATGGAATTATTCTAACATAAAAGCAGCCTCTAATGCCAATAACCAAATCAAATTAATATTTACCTTACCTTCTATAATCAGTATAGATGAAAGAAACTGTGAACGTAGATGCTTAGAAGCGCCTGTCAAAATTCCGCTGATTCAAATATCCCCCCCCCCCCCGCAATAAAAATGTTCTAGCATTCTGGGATACAAGTTGGCCTTTTTATCTGCATTCATCAAAGCTGTTGAAGGGGATGCAACATTTATGAAAAAAAACCTCCAGCAGCAGTAAGAGAAGATGACTAAATTATGTGTATTTCTGCAGCCAGGAGAAACAAGAGACAAAGTTTAGACTTTATTACAACTGTAATTAGCTAGATTGACTGAGACTAGGAGAATGCAGGAAAATTAGATGCTCAGTCAACACATGCCTCATAGGGGCCCAGGCAGCAAAGCTATCCTAAGTTCATTTAGGATAATCAATGGTCATTGGCATAGCAGCTTGACAGAGACATCTATTGCTTAAAGAATGTTGTCTTGTGAGAAACATTCCTAGCATGTCACTCCTGAATTTTAAAAGGATGGGAGTGTAGTATTTTTGACATCTATTGTCTGTCTTGATTGGGTTAAATAGAATGCATAGTCAAAGAAAAAGTTTGTTCCTTTTTATGAGCAGTTCTAACAATTAATATAAAAAAGCTGATTTTTTATCAGGGAAGAGAAAATGAAAGGAAGTGTGCAAAGGATTTTTAAATGTATCCACCCAAAGTGATTTAAAACCCTCAATTAGAAAATGATTTCATATATCAATTTAATTCCTGATTTTCCAAAGCATTTAACTTTTAAATTAAATCTGGACCACCATCCCGAGAATGATGGGCAAAATATGTATTCAAGTCATTACCTTCTTTCTGAAGCTTTAAATCACTGGCAGATTTAATAACTGTCCAGTTTTCACTGCCAAATGGTTCTTCAGGCCCTTTGGTTCTTAAGTCATTAATTCTACTTAATACTTCTTTATTTCTGAGCATGGAAAGCTTACCATTCAGCATAAAAGATAACAGTGATAAGTCACAGGGTGAAAGTAGTTTTATAATTATCATTACTGTTTACTTAAAGAGCCTTAGCACACAAACAGCCTTGCATATGGGGGAGGAGAGTAGTGCTGCTATCATTTCTTTTCCAGAGTTAGCACACCTAGAGAAAACTTTTACAGGAAGAGTTTTATTTGATCTTAATCAAGAACCACATTCTACCTCCCATCACTGAACACAAAGCTGTCTATGATCTCTTGTGTCACTGCTGTCCAGATTTCACTTTAGAAAATCAAAGGGATAAAATAAGTCTCTTGTCATCATCAGGGATGGAAATGAATAGTACATAACATGACTGACCCATGAGCTCATGCTAGAGATTTCCTGAAGGCTGAAGAATTTAATGATAGAACTGCAACATCATCTATTTGTAAAACAAGCATAAATCAGAATTTGTCATATATATATATATAGCACAGCATATCTGAAAATCTGAAACACTTGAAATACGTGCATGCACCAATGCTGAGAGGCAACACTTAACAGTAGATTCCTCTCCCCCCCCCCATCCTTTCCAGTGAATACTGCCTTTCTGTAGAATCTGGATCACCTATATCTTTATAAACAATTAAAACCAGGGGGAAACCTAGCATTGGTCAGGCATATAAGTACAGGCACAAATAGATCTGATAATGCTTGCAGAAGCGCCAACCTTCCACAACAAGCTCTTAAACAAAGCCCAACTGACATCCAGGATTAAATAAATCCTATTGCCAATACTTGTTCTCTTGCTTTATGAGATGCATTTCAAGTACTGATTGTGAAAGCTGACCAATGTTTTCCTCTGGCCAGCATTGCCCATGGGGATCAGAGGGACAAGGTGGAAATTCATGTTATTCATAAAAGAGCAACTAGGTAAAATTAACCAAAGGAAGAACTTATGTGGAAAGCAATATATGATTCTGGCTTTTATTTTCGGACATAAATATTAAATGCAAAGAAGGACTGCACAAAGGAACCCTTAAGATTCAGTTCTATTAGTAGCAACTTGGAATTAAGTGCCAAGTAAGACTTACTTCTGAGTAGATAGATATACCATGGCCTTGACAGAACTTTAGACTTGCTTTCCTGCTGCCCTGACAATGCGTTCAACTCTACCCAGCAGCCCACATAACAGAAAGAAAAAGGCTTTTTTTGTGTTTGGGGTTTTTTTAAGTGTTCCCAAATTGCATTTGTAAAGGAGGATGAATGCCTTTTAATTCTGAACGAAGTCCTCCGGACCTTCAATGCAAACGCTTCAACTCTTCTGATTTTTGAAACTCCAATTCCCTTTCCACCAAACTCTTTGCTAAGATCTGACACCCGAACCAAATGCTTTGTCATTCTTGCCTCAGTGGCTGAAAGCAGAGCTGAGAACTGCTTATTTGGGGGACGGAAGTGAATTTAACCCTCCCTCCCCCGCAAAGCTTCTAGGATAGACAGAAGTACGACTTAGCAGAGACTTTCAATTTGAGATCCTAGAGTTATTTCCTCCTGAGGATGCTTCCTTCCACTGTGGAACTTACGAGTAAGGGCCAGAACTCAGAGACGGGCAATCCTTCCCCCGCAATCATCTGGACAACTCCCCCCCCTTTTTTTTCCAGGATTATATTTTAGAAGCACTCAGGCTAACAGTGCAAGAAATGAAGAGAAGGCGATTACTTTTGCAACGCGCTCACACGCCTCCCCGCCTCCCCCCCCCCAGCAATAGGTCGCCCACAATATAAAGACAGGACCAGAAAGGAAGCGCTTCGCTTGTCCATCTCCCTTTAAAATAGAGGCGCGCCAGCCAAACGACGTTGGCGCTTCTCCTGAGGGCTTCGCTCAAATGCGCAACCTGCCGAGCCTGAGGTCTCTCTTTCGAGCCTCAGCCATCTGCCCAACCACCCAGATTCACGGGGAACGGGGAGGTGTTGGAGAGAGAAAACGCAAAATCACCTTGTTGCAGTAGTAGGGGTCCAAGCAAGGAGAAGGTCCTAGACAGGGGATATCAGGAGCGGCGCCCGACTGAGGTGGTGCTGGTGGCGGTGGCGAATAAAATCTTACGTCCATTGCCCTAAAACATCAAGCAAACTCCTCGGCTTCCCTCTTTGTGCTTATACTCGAGTAAAAAGCAAAACGGCCCCCCTCCTCCAAAGGCTGAGGTGCCCTGAGTTTAGAAGAAGCAAAAAAAGCACCTTCCCTGCCTCACATCCGTTTATGCTTTGCAAGCAGAAGAAAGGGGGGGGGAGCAAAACTCTTCCGAAAAGCTCCGTTCTCGTCTGCCGAGGGCTGCGAAAGGGGCAGTCTAAGCCCCTGCTTTTTCTCCTATGGCAGGACAGGTAACTTCAAGTTCTGGTCTCCCCTCCCACGCCACTTGGCAGAGCCCAGGCGCAGGTCTCTCCGTGCCTGCCTTGGGAGAGTTCGGCGCTTTTTGCGCTCTTTTCCGTCTGCCTCTTGGACTGGCTGGCTTGCTTGCTCCTCTTCTGCTCTCCCGCTCCCCTTTCTTTGCAACAGCTTTATTTCTGCAAACAGCTCTCTACCTCGAAGAGTAAAGAAAGAGGATTAAAGCTCCCGTCGGGGTGATGCGGGATGAGGCGAGGCAGAGATCCGGTTCTGGAAGGGCTGATCCACGTCTCTCAGAGCAGGGTAGACAGGAGAGATTCGGCGTGCGCTGCCGCTGCTTTGCTCCGACTGTGCTTCACACAAAGGGAGCACGCAAATCCTGAGCCATTTGCTGCTTGCTCGGAGCGCGCGGGGCGAGCGCAGATAGGGGGCGCTCTAACAAGCATCGTCCAGGCCTTCTTTCCTCCCGTTCTCCATCACTCTTACCCCCTGCTAGTTACTATGGTACCATCTCAGCAAAACTCTTCTATAATGAATAAACAAAGGGCTGTAAAGAAGAAAGAATGAGCTACAGAGGGGAAGATAGGGAAACAGAGAAAAGAAAAGAAAGGAATATGGTTTCAGGATGGTTGGAGCTGATTTGAGTTATCCATAACTTCGACTATCAACTTCTCTATATGTACACTTACATTAAAGAGGGAGGACCCTTTGCACGTGTGCAAAGTGATAAAGTGTGCAAAGTGATAAATGAGATGCTTTGCATGAAGGCTAAATTAAATCCCTGGCATCTTCAGTTATCTAAAAATGGGATATAAAGATTTCCTTCTCTCTGCCTGAAACCTTTAATCAGTTATTGTTTGGAGGTGGTCTGATGTGGTATGCATCTCATGAAGTATTTTCCTACATGAAGGGTAGAATAAGTATTTCTGGGATTCATTAACTGAACTTCCCACATATTAGAAAACAGTATGAGTAGAAGGTGCACTGATAATACAGAATAGTTAATGATAGCCACTTGAAAACTTACAGAGAACAATAACTGTTTAAAAAAGCAAAAACAGTGGAACGTTTACAAATCTGTCTTCAGCTGAGTCTCAAATTCCCAGGATGCAAATGAGATTTCCTTACTAGTGCCAGAAAACTTTGACATAACTATTTTATAGACAGGGTAGCATCTGCCAGAACAGATGAGGAAAGGAGAAAGGACATAGCAGCTTCTACTTCACAGGTGTCAAACGCACGGCGTCACGTTGCCATCACGTGACTTTTGCAATGTTTTTTTCCTTCTTGGAGCTGGGGTGGGTGTGGCCTGTGCGTGATGCATCCAGCCCACAGGCTGCCAGTTGGACATCCCTGTTCTACTTCATGAAAAAAATGTGCTAGTATTCTTTCTGTATGTAAGTATTAATATACCGTAAACATATTAGATGGGTTTCCTTTTGGAGTTTGGGTTAAAAGACATGAACTTTACATAAATGATGTAGGATCAACCATAGAGAAAGCATACTTTGAGTTTACAATAAAAATGAAAGATGAAAAAGAGATGAATAAAAAGATAAAAAGAAAAGAAATATTATCCCTTGGGTTATATGGATACAGCTGTTTCCAGGCACGCTTACCTGTATTTGAGTTGATTCTTATTTAATTCAATTTTCTGACTTCATACAACATACTGAAGCATAAACATACTAGAGAACATGGCTTCCGCAATAGTCTATTCCATAATATTCTGAGCTAAAATGTGATTTATCGGTTTATAATTCAGCATTTTATGTGAACACAGACTCTATGTGTGATGTGTAGACTTATTCAAGGGGCTGTGTATTTTTAACAATTATATATTGTGCTATTTAAGTAAATCTAAATGAAGAGGACAAAATAAATACTAATACCAAACACTTTAAAGTGATAAATATTCTACAGAGAATTCCTTTTTAAAGAGATATTTGCATCAGAGAAATTCAACAATTTTAGTTAATTGAGTGCAAAATTTGATATAGTAAAACTCAAAATAAGAGTTGCCTGTTATACATAGTACTTGATCACAGTCTTCCCTATTTGAATCATGATGTCATGAATATACTTTATGGAAATTCTTTTCAGGATGTATCCATACACTCCAACACCATAATACAAAATACTCCTACATAAACTCTTTACATGCTGTTTTAACTTTAATGACAGAAGTGAGATATGCATGTAATAGATAAACATGTTCTAAAAGTGTATGATATTGGAAAGGGCAATAATTGAGTATTTAATTTTCTACAAATAATATAATTCCTGAGATGACTGTAGTATGCAATGGTCTTTTATGCATTCATCTGAAAATGCATATATACCGGTAGGAAGGAAATACTACAAATTAAATTATATTCTTCCTATACATTGGTAAATCATCATTGTTTAATGTATCAAAAAATCCCTAACGGTTTTGGGGTATAATTAGCACTAGTCAGCATCAGTTAATTCCATGTATAACTAATAAATCAGGGCAGAATTGTATGTCTATAACAGAAGATACATCTTAGGTATAATAAATATAATGGGTTTAAAAGTATGCTAATGGCAAATTCAACTCTGTAATGGTGGACATGTACAATAGGTTGTCTTGCTTGCTTGGGTCATCAGGAAGTTATAAGTGTAATTGAAATTATTTAGAACTATAAATAAAAATGTAAAACTATTTTAGTAACTTGATTTTCTACAGATTGTTTTATCCAGCTATGTTTGGGTAGCTTATAGACTCCATGCATGCCTGTATTAAAGAAACTTTATTGATTTAAAATTAAATTACTTTAAAGTAAATGTGTTTGGCCTTAAAGCCTGAACTGGCTCTATTCCAATACTTTCTTTAACTCAGCAGGTGTGGCATTTTAGATTGTTGAACTTCATACTGTACATATTGTATTTTCTAAATCAAACAATCAACCTATTTAATATCAGCTCCATACTGTTCACTTTACACATACTTTTGCTCTTTAAATACAAAGCTTAAGTTGTCAAGAACAGATAGATGTAATTCAGACTGAAATCAGGAAACCCTGAATGAACTTGGGTTTTACTGGACAATAATTTTTTTCATTTTTTTTATTAATTTCCTGAAAAACTTCCGATGATTATGATAAACGCCTTAAAACTGAACACAAATATAATTTCAGAATGACTGTATCACATAAGAACTTGAGAAATATGAAATTAACTTTTAAGAACTATTTTTGTTGTTAGTTGCAAAGTCATGTCCAACCCATCGTGGCCCCATGGACATCTTTCCTCCAGGCCTTCCTGTCCCCTCCTCCGGAGACCATTTAAGAACTATAATGTAGAGTATTTAATCACATGTTTCTGACATGCTGCTTCCAACATGCTGCATGAGTTCAACAGGTCTCAAATGCTGCTGATTTTTGTTTGTACTCAGTATCCAATGTATCTCGCTGCAGTATCTAACAATAGTCAGCCAGCATTGCTGGATTCCAGTTGCCCTGATACAGTTTTTTCATTGTGGCAATGTCCTGGTGAAAACTTTCATCATGTTCATCACTGACTACACTTAGATTTTCGGGGGGGTGGGGGAGTCCAAATTTGAATGCAGAAAATGAATCTTCAGTAACATGTTGCACTTCATGGTCTTGTATTGTTTGTCAACCAGCTGAATGTATTCTATTGTATTAATTTGGTTTTCTATAAAAAATTGTCAACAACTTCCATGAAAGCTTTCCAGGAGATTTTCTCTGGCCCCACTAACATATCTTTGAATTGCTTGTCATTAATGTTTGTATCTGATCTGTGGACCAACAAAAATGCCTTCCTTAATCTTGGCATCAGTTATTCTTAGAAACATCTGTCCCAAAACTTCACCTTGTTCATTATTTCACACAAAAAAAAATATCAGTCTGAGTTTTATGTGAAGCAGAGGCAAAAATACTTTTGTTGCGTCAACAGGTTTTTCTGTTCTGGAATCAAATTATTTTGGACTGGTCATTCCTTTTTAATGTAATGAGACTCTCTTGCATGGCTGTCCCATTTACTGTACATATGTAACAACAGTACATGGTATATCCAAGCTGCATACTAAGCAGCAGAGCCACTACTTTTAGATCTCTACAGTTATTCCAATTGCACCTGGTGTACTGGATGTACACAGCTTCAACAACAGTTCCATGTTTTTATATGTTTCTTTCATATATGCAACACAGCTAATGGCTTCTGAAAGGTGGACATTGCCACTGTGAAAACAGATTTCCATAAAATGGTACATGATAGGTTAAATTACAGGTTATTCTCATGATTAACAGGCTCGAGGCCTTGATTTCTCCTCTCCTAGCAACGCCAACTGGAACGGGCCATGGAGGAAGAAGGAGAATAACCATAATATGGTACCTCCCACTCCCAACACCTGATGCAGAAGGACACCATGGTATTGAAAGCTGCTGAGAGAACCATTTCTTTTTCTTTTTAAATACACTTCTCTTTTTCACTGCTCCTTTTTTTTATACTGATGGGCTTCACTATAGTATTCATAATACCTATCTGGAATTTGGAGATATCTGTTTTAACTGGATCAATTTAGCTGAGAAATGTATCTTTTTTTAAAGTTTGTATGAGATTACCTTCAAAACTGTAACTAACTGAGTCAGCATTTTAGAATACATCAACAACCCTGACAGCAATGAGGAAATAAAGTTTAACAAAATTGAGCAGTACAAGACCAATTTCAATATGAAGTTTAAATTATATGTAAGTCTTCATTTTAAAATACAAGATAATGATTGATGATATTCCCATTAAGGTTTCAATGTAAGAAAATACCCATGATATTACAGGCAAATTTGTTTTATGTGGGGCTACAATGTTGATCTATACAATAAGCCTTCCTGAAATAATTTCACAATATATAAAGAGAATAATCGCAAATATGAATCTTCTCCTGTGTTGCTCTCAACACAGTATTAGCCTATCTCCTGCTGTGGAACATAGTTATCCCCCTTTCTTTCAGTTTCTAGGCCAGAAATTTTAGCTTTTTGTTTGTAGTCAGACCTTTTCACTTTGAATTAATCAATAGTTTATTTTAATCATTTTAAAAATAAGATTCTAAAACTTAGAAATAAGATTCTAAATTGTTTGCTACTGACAGCTACCCTAAATACCCTCTGGGTAGAAAGTAGGATAAAAATCATCATCTAGTTCTGTAATATAGCATCAATCCAGAATATTATATCAAAAATATAGGATGAAGGGTAAAATGGTTTGTTTGCTGGAATATTTTACTTCTGTGTAATGTGTGTGTGTGGGGAGGGATAAAAGGATCATCTTTAGGTATAATAGATCCAAATGGGTTCCTTTAAGAATGTTTTACTTTAATGAAA